TGCTCAGATGCCGGAAAAGCAGCCGGATATCGCATCGCGCGGATATCCGGATGCCAATCGACATCTCTATGACAGATGAATGAGTCAATTATAAACGTACCAAAGCTATGAATCGTAAGAATATCGAGATACAGAGCTACAAACTGAGAGAGATCCTCACGACCGTGATTGACCTATAGACCAAGATGTATTCTTCCTTCACAAAAGCAATAATACAAGCGAAAATGAGCACTTAGTACTACACCCAAAGAGCTCAAAAACGATACACTTACTGATATGCATAAACATCAAAAAAGGAATCGACACACGCCTCGAATAACGTTGTAAGAGTTGGAAAAACATCTATAAACCAATCTGGAAAGATACGAATATGAAGATGTTAATTGACAGGGGCACTTGCACCGTTTAATGGAACATCAATACCCACAACTACCAAATTATAAGAAGGGATATAACAAACCTCAACCGTATGGACAACATAAAGCGATCAAGACATAACTAAGTCCTGAATCAAATAAAAATAATAATAAGAGCTGACCATTGCCCAATGGAGGATAAGTTCACAGCTCTAAACCTATGACAAAGACACAGTCAGCAAACATAACTAAATATCAGACAGTTGAAAAGCTCATGATCAATCATAAGAAAAACAATACATACCTTAACATAGAATCCTAATAAATGGATGCTTAAGAATCTATCTATCACTCCTATCTTGATCAATAACCTGACCAAGCGAACAAAAACTCACCTAGAGAACCCAACTCTCCAGGAAACGACTGATGTCCAACATATATCATCTGACGATCATCTAACAATACCTCATCAACACGTTAACACTTGTAAATGAGAAAGAAATGATGAAAGAGAGCAATGACATACCTTAATTGAACCGACGCCCACATCAGATTGATACGTAATGATGTGTTGTGACTGATTGGAACTGATAAGACCTAACCGGTTGCTCCCGGGTGGGAAAAAATCCATAAACCGTGAAAGGTACTCCAATAGGATATATCACTACATGTCACTGAAAGGAGTCCGTGTCACCTCAAATATAGATAAAACTGGTGAAAGTGACACAGTCAATGTTACACACATATCACAGGCACACTACACTGCACACAATACTGCGCAATAACAAGGAGCCGCACAACACAGACAACAAGAGTTATCACTCTACCACTACTGGAGAAATATGCACCTCCAACCAAGTGTAGACAAAATGCATACTCAAAAATAACAGTATGCAGATAACCCTGAACAACAAACAAATAGCTTCATTTATATAAAAACAGGAGCACATAAAGGTCCCTAACACAAAGCCTACATGCTTCAACAAATTTGAAAAGCAGACAACCTGCCTGGCCACTAGCCAGAAGGAAGTGTTACGCCTAACTAAGCGCATTAGTTAAATAGGAAGGGCACCTATTCAAAACTACTACCCAAACCACTCATGACAGTACACCAAACAGAGAAACCAATGTCCCGCAAGGTGCTCTTTGACAGTGAATACACGGAGGAGCACTGTACTTCAGAGGGGAGGTCATCCACCGTCCCTGTGTGGTGTGATGCTTTAGGAGTGACTGGTATAACTGCCAGTGAAGTATCCTATTCCAGGGAAGAAAAGCCCGTTACCACTCAAGATAATACGGATCTGACCTGGTCCAATGAGGAGGGCTCAACCGCCGTCTCCAGCCCCCAGTCTGGAGGAACAGAGGGCGCACACAGGATCAACCAACATGCCTCAGGTCCTCGCCTGAGCCTGATGGCCCCTGTTATTAAACACACAATCAGGCCACAACATGCCCCAGGTCCTGGCCTGAGCCTGACGGCCCCTGTTGTTAAACACACTATCAGGCCTCAAAACCCTGTGGGAGAAAAGAATATGAGGCCACCCCAAACCTCAATACCAAAGGAAGAATAAACCAGATTGATACTTACCAATACTGGCTCACTATCCACTCCCCAACTATACAGTGCATTAAAGCATGCACTGAAACACCACCCTGAAACCTACAAGGGTATAATCAAAGTCAAACAAATCCTACAACCAAACAGGAGAACAAGATTTGACATATGGATTAAAAATGAGGTAGCTGCAGGGCTACAAAAATCCCTACAACTAGACTACAAGGGAAGACAACAGCTTGCAGAAAAAGTCTTTGAAGAAAAAATTCCATGGATCAAATGTATCACACAAGGAATGTTACCAAGATATAGACTGACAAGGTGGAAACCTTACAGAGATGGAATAATAATGTCAAAGAGGACACCCACCAAAACTCCCATCTCATCCATCAAACAGTTCCTAACCTGGAATATAAATGGGGTCAACTCTAAATTTCCAGCTCTGAAAAGCTTGCTGGAAACAAAGCAAGTATCCATAGCAGGAATTCAAGAACACCTGAGGACAATATACCAATACTCACCAGACATAAAACAATATAACCTATTTGAGAAACCATGTGAGGAAGGGTTTAGGGGCCACTGCGTGTATGTACACACCAAACTAGCAGCCCACAAAATACCCACAGAAGATAAACACTTAATATATGTAAAAGTGTTTGGACTCTCCCAAGCCAAACCATGGCACATTATATCAGTCTACATGCCCTCAGGTAACTTGAAAAGACAAGCAAGAAAAACAGTATGGCATAAACTGACATCTATCCTCACACCTATAATGAAAGGGGAGAAAAATCCCATTATCACCCTAATGGGGGATTTCAATCAAGATGAACAGACAGTGGATAAACTCATCAACAAGAATAGTCTGAGAAGTCTTAACCTCAAACTATGTAATGATCCAACTACCAACCATACAAGAAGGATCAAATACCAGGAAGGAAGATATATAGATCATTATATCAACTCACCAGAGGCATGTAAATTTGCACCACAAGCCTCTGTGGACCAAATCACCACAGATATTAGTGACCACTGGCCAGTTTTTCTTCAACATCAAACTATCCAAGGGACAAACAAAAACCAGAAGGAAGTCTGGAACCGTAAAGCCATCATTGGGCATGGGATAGAACTAGCCCTATCAAAAAGATGGGACTGTCTCAGAACTGAAGACATTGAGAGTGAAACAGACCTCAATGAAGCAGCCTCAAAATGGGTGGAAATTCTCAATCAATCTGGAAGAGAACTTCAAATACTAGAAATTCCTAAAGAACAACAGGAAATCCAGTTTGATAGAGTAACCAAGGCCAGATCACGCCGAACACAACAAGCTCTTCAAAAAGCTGTTCAGGCTAAAGATAAACCTCTTATCAAAAAACTACAAAAAATACTAGTAGTTAGATCATATGAGGCCAAAAGAGCAATAAAGAAATGCTCAAAAATTCAAAAACTAAAAAGAAGTAACCAAATCAACCACCTACTTCTAGACAATGAAGGAGCTGACTTCCATAAACTTCTTCAACAAGCACAAGGAAATACAAATTCTAAACAAGAAAACATGCCTTGTTATGACTCAAACAACAACTTTGTGACTGACCCTAAGGGTATCCTACAGGCAAGAGCTGCATATTCTGCGGAACTGGCTAAAGACCCCACCAACATATCTAGAGACCCAAACAAATGGTCACATATTACTGCAACAGAAAAGCTATTCCCCAAACTACACATTTCCAGGAAACCTGGAAATGACACACATGATCAGGCTGAAGACAACATTTCTGAAGTAACTGAAATAAACTGTCCCAACAGTGAACTTGACACAGATGCCTTTATCATGGCCATTAGACAAATTAAAAGAAATGCAGCCCCTGGTAAAAGTGGAGTATTGGCAATGCACCTGAAGAAATTTTTAGAAATTGAGTGTCAGCTACAGGTTAGTAAAGACTGGGAAAACTCCCCCAAAATCACTTTGGGAGCAAATCATACCCCAAACCACTAGACTACTCCACAACAGCCCTAGACAGATGGTCTCTGCCATCAGAACTAATCACCCCACCACTAAAACACCTACTCAACATCATGAGAGGATGCCTCAGGCTAAAGACCCAACCAGATATATGGAATGAGGAAGTACTCATAACACTTCCTAAACCGGGACAAGACCCCAAATATCTTAAAAACACTAGAGGTATAACTCTATCTTGCACAGAAGGTAAACTACTACTAACCATCATTGCAAGAGAAATTGCCGCCAGACTAGAAAACAAAGGCTTTTTCACAAAGGCACAAGCTGGTTTCAGACAAGGACAAGAAGCTATTGCACATGTCATCGGTCTCAATGAAGTACTGAAGAGAAGACGCAATGCACAAAAAAATACACTGGTACTATACATTGACTTTAAAAAAGCATTTGATAGAGTTCCCCATGAAGGACTATGGGCAAAACTACTACAAATTGGAATCCATCCAGATCTTGTCACCATAATAAAAAAGGGATATGATAACTCCAAGATTCAGTGTAGACTAGGAGATCAACTCTCTGAACCATTCACCAGAGAAATTGGGACCCGACAGGGATGTCCTCTATCACCTCTCCTCTTTATTATATTTGTCAATGATATCCTGGAAAAAGTGTCCAATGGTATATCTGTCCCAAGCCTGAAACAACTTGCCAAAGGGCTCCTATTTGCAGATGACACTAATATTTGCGGACACAGAAAACGAAATTCAGGACATATGTGCAAAGCTAGACACATACTGTGAAGATTGGCACTTTGCACTAGGTCACAAAAAATGCGGAGTTGTTGAATACAAATGGGACATCAATGAGCCTATTAACCACCCAACATACCTATTCAAAAATGGCGAGATCCAAAAAGTTTCAACTTATAAATATCTGGGATGTATGAGCCCCAATACCATAACAAAAGGAGAACCTTACATAATAGAATCTGAACATGCAAAAACTCTTGCAAGAAAAGCAGAAAAAGCC